CTACAACAAGCAATATGTCATCCGATAGATCTAAAGTATCTGCCCTGACACAGAATTTGAAAGTTCCCTTTGAATAGGAATTGGCTAAGAAAATCAGTGGAACATATTTTCTTGTTGTTCAATCTTGCATTTTTCCCCTTAAGTATTCAGCCTTTGTCTGTGTTAGAGTTTGGCTAGCAAGGTGATGGAAGCATCTGCAGATAGTCTGTGCTCTTCCTGGATGGAGTGGTAAAGCACTGGGTTATGCCCTGTAACTCTACTGGCAGATGTCCCACTGGCTCAACTATCTATTGTTTAGGATACAATAAGCAAGATCTGGCCCCCAGTACTAGGCCACAGGCCTGTGAGGCTCCTCCCTGGTCTGCAGGGAGATCTGTGGGCTGTGGCTCTGTACACAAGATTGGGTGCACACAGCAGCATGGGGCCCAATCCTGGCATGTGGAGCCAAGAAGAGGTAGCATGGGGCCCCAGAGCTCACTCCTGGTACATGGGGCCAGTGTGGGGCCTGATCCTGGAATGTAGGGCCTGATCTGGCCTGTAGGCCACTCTTCTGGCCCATGGGGCCAAAAGGTTGAGGGCTGCTAGTTTGGGGGGGGCACAGAAAAAATAAATAAATCACATGTTCTGGGAAACTGCTGCATCTACAAGTCCTCTGCCTCCATCCAGCTAGAGCAGTCAAGGCTGCAGATTTTACCTCCTGGGCAAGTCTACAGGCCTGACATGTATAGCAAAACCTTCTTGAACATGCAACCTACAAATCAAAGAGCAGGAACATGCACTTGTTAACCTTACCTTGTAAGAAATGCTTCATTGAGTAAATAAAAGTGAACAAGAAATTCTTAGGCAAGAGGGAGAACCAGTGGAGAAATCCATTAGAAAGACCTCTCTTGCCCTTTCACCAAGGCTCAGTAGCCCTGAGTAGTTCCCACCAAAACCTGGATGCATTACAGGACCAAGGACTCAGCACCAAAGCACCATGTTACCAAGGAGCTGATGCTTACAGCATCACTGAAAGTCTCATCAGCTCAGTGCTTCGCTCCACTGGATTCCAGCCTTATAGCACTGACTTCTTCTGGAGCGATTCAGCACTGCCAGATGCTTGAACCAACATCAGTCCACAAGGAGTCTACAACAATGCCTTATATGTAAAATACAGCATCCTGTGGTTGCAGCACTAGCAAACCTACTCACCGTGAATCGTTGCTATTGTGCAGCCTCTGTTCCAGTACTAGTGTCAGGAAACTAGGTCTCTAAAATACTAGGTTTGTCAGCAGTGTCATGGATAGAATTAAAAGTTGACCACAGTGCCCTGGACCCTTGTTTCTGCCCTTTCATCCACTTTTTCAATAGTGGCTGATGGTAGACAGGATTCAGAGTGCTCCTCTATCTTCTTCAATATCCCACAACAAGGACTTTAGATGATCATGCTGGGATATGATCCAATAGGCACAATGTCTCCAACACCCTGGCCAAAAGATTCCTAGCCATTTATGTTAGCATGCCTGTACTAAGGTGCTTGGACATCTCCAGGCACGAGTAAATACTCCGACAGTCTGTCATCTTAGAGCAGTGGTGCTCAACCTCTTTGGCTGGTGGGCCGATGGGGAGCACTGCCCATCTGGCTGCACAGAGGGGCAGGGGAGGCAGCCCAGACCTGATCCAGCTGTGAGGTGGAAAGGGGCTTGGTCTGACCCCAGCCTAGCCCTGTGGGGGAGGGGGGAAAGGTGTGATCCAGTTCTGATCCAGCCCCACAGGGGAGTGGTGTATGGTCCAGCCCCACAGTGAAGGGGAAGAGAGCATGGCCAGACCTTGAAAGGAGACAGGTATGCAGCCCAGCCGCAAACCAGCTGCACAGAGGGAACAGCCCAGCCCCAACCCAGTTGGCTCTTTCAGGGGAAGCATCCTGGCCCAGCTCTGACTTACCCTATGGGGCTTGGATTTTTGGCAGCAGAGAGGAGCGTCAGACCTGCCACAGCTCCCCTGCCACCAAATTTCCCAACGTGTGGAGTCCCGCAGGCTGGTTCCAAGGTCCTGTGGGCTACATTTGGCTTGGGCTGAAGACTGAGCACCCCTGCCTTAGAGGATCTTAATCAATGGTCTTTACCATCTCAGCTGCCCCTCAACTTGCACATACTGTGAAAGTTCTGTATGTACCAACCTATGGACATGGGAGAAGAAAGTAGTGGGGAACCTCATCTCATCACCTCAACCTCCCCAGCCAAATCAGTACCTCAACCTCCCCAGTACCAAACAAGGGTACCTTAGAAGGGTTTTGAAACTACCGTAAAAAAGTAACAATGGCTCTACAGATCCTTATGGAAGAGGTCAAGGATAGCCAATGATCTATACCCAATATATTTTGGAAACATTTAAGGATCAGTACTGAAAATACTTGGAATTCAAAATAAACACATTGATTGAGCTTGGATATTAGTAAAACAATAGCATCTCTACAAAGGAGACAGGGTCTGGAGAGTAGTTATAGTAGCACTCACCTCACATCAGAGGTCTGTCTTAAAATGATTGCGAAAGGCACCTCTTTCATATCATCCTTGGCAGACCCACCTGGGATATGAAACTATAAGATCCTATGCTTTTTTAAATTGTTTTTGAGCTACCCCTTATCTAAACTTGTTTTGATCAAAATATCTGAAACTCAACAAAGAAAGTTGACTTATACTAATTACTTATGGGTACAAAGCTCCTGTTTTGAATATCAGTA